CTCGCATGACCTAATCACAGGAGTGACGTCTCATCTCCTTTGTAACATTATATATGTTAAAGCCAAGTCACTAACAATAGCCCATGTCAGAGGGAGAGGATCACACAAGGATGTCAGAGCAGAAAACAGGAGTCACTGGGCTCCAGCTTGAAGGTCTGCTGGGTCCAGTGGGGTGACAATAGGATGGTGCCAAATGCTACTGCAGTGGCTGGCTGTAACTATTAACCTCACACTCTGGACCACCGTATAACACCAAACCAAACGTTTCTCAGTGTTTACAAAGATGTTTCCAAAGGTTTGCGTGATTGTCTTATTCACCTTCGTTCTTGATTCTTCAAGTATGTTTTATGCTTATGTTAATAACAGTAAATCAGTTAATTTACTTAGAGCTGAGAGGCCAGGTAAAATGAAGAATGTTTTATTTTACTAAGAATTAGGCAGAGTTTTAGGATTGTCATTGTTTTTCTTAGAAAGAATCAGCCTATTTGGGGTCACTTCGCACAAATTACATACACATACTTTCATGCACATACCCACTTCTATATGTATTCTTCAAGGACAGAATTAACTGTATTGATAAACAATATAGGCGCTCACTAGACGCTACTGGGCACCCATTACAATTCTACAAGGACCTCGCACAGATTTACAGTGACAATTAATGGCATGTTAAAATGCTGGGAGGAAGGTATTGATGTTCAATAATAATGCAATCAGATTCTTAGAAGGCCAGATAGTTTGAACATCTTCTTTAAAATGTCATTTATCTAAGACAATATGCAAATGTTCCTACATTTCACAAACAAATGGTGGAAATAACAAATTTAACGTATTTATCTAGGTGGCCTGGTTTTGCAGCACCAGAAAAATCAAGAACAACTGCACAGTCATTGTGGCAATAGATTGATGTTTCTTTATGGGAAGGTGAGGGGAAGATTTATAATATATAATTGTGAGAGGACCTCAGGTCCTGCTTGAAGTGACATAGTAGAGATTTTTAGCAAGGAATCCCAAGTTTATGAAGTGACTGTCATTATGTACAGTTTGAGGAGCCCAAACCCTGGGTAAGATTGTTTTAGCTCACCTTTCTCTACAACCCTGAGGTTGGATCAGTTTGGGCAATTAAAATTTCTGTTAAACCATTGCTCCACAATGCAGAGGGTACTTGGACAGTTAATCCATAGATTTGTTGTAAGAATTAATCAAGTTATCAGTCCCAATAGATCCCTTAAAAGAGGAGGGGTATTAATGCAATTCCGAGAGGCACAGGACTTACAGGGTAAGGGCTGACTTTGATTTAAAGACTCTCCTGTGACTGTTTCAAGCTGTAAGTTGACCTGTGTTCCAGGACTTTGTGACCCAAACATCCCTTACTTTTCCCTTCACTTGGTTTCATATTCCCATGGAGGACAGTTGACTATCCAAGTCTACCTCCACCATTTCTCACCAAGCTTAACCTGCTATGATACAATCCTTGCACATGTGACTCAGCCTTGATGTCTGCTTCTCAGAGGGACCCAGCAAAGCCCTTGTTTATCATCTGAGCTAACCAGGATGCCCACTCTGAGATGGGGCTAGTGAACATTCAGCTTATTATAGGGTGCTCTTGAAATCTGGATCTGTGAGGAAAATGAGGAGAGATGACTGGGAAGAAGAAGAATTTGAGCTGCACGGCAGTGTCCACCAAGCTCTGCTAACCCCACGTGGCAGCCCAAATCTGAGAGGCTCCTGTAACATGGTCCGAGGAGGGACCAGGAGGCTGGACTTTATACCATTGCCTCTGTAAGTCTTTATGAGCAGACGAGTCTAGGAATGGTCTGTTGCTATAGGCAAAGAAGCTCAGTCTACCCAAGGACAATTCCCAGATATGTATGAAAGCTGAAGGCTGTCAGGAAACAGCACTTCTAGCATTTTGAAAAAGTAGTTACTTCTGTCTTGGAAGTAGAATAAGAGCGTGTGTCAAAGCATCCACCACAGCCATGAAAATAGAGCTAGCAGGAAATGTAGGCCAATGGAGCGCCCACGGACACCTCTAGTCAATCAGAAATATTGTTATTTTTGTGAATATAATGTTCCCATTGATTTATGTATCTATAATTCTCAAAGCCTCATAATCAAGGTAGCAGTGAAACCAAAAAACCTAGTCACTACTCGTGGTGGCAAGACATGTTTGAACTTACTTCCAAAAGCATTTGCTGGTTTTGCCTTTTGGTTATCTGTCTCCAAATTCATGAGAAACCGTTATGCACAGAGAAGATTAAACTTTGTTTGACCTGACTCAGGTCTTGCTCTTTTTAAACAACCTTTCCATGGTGTACCTAGAATTCATTTAAATTACAGTTGCAAGAGGCTATGATACAATCGAGACAAACAAAAGGGAACTTAACCCGAAAGTAAAAGCCAGGGCATTCCATGTCCAGAGAGGACTTCGAAAAGCGTGGGCAGAATCCGGGACTTTCCTGGCGGCCGAGCACCTGCTGCGTAGGACCCACAATGGCTCACTCCTCTCAGGGCTCGCTGACCTTGAGAGTCTAGGAAGGAAGGAACCGAAGACTAATACCGTTTATAAACTGCCTGCTCGGGCCTCAAAACATGCTGAAACACAGACACAGAGACCCGTGGCAAAAGCTGGGCGATTTACGGCTCCAGGGCACTTTTGGAGATCTCTGTCTGTTTATGATATCACCACTGTGTTAACTGAGGAAGAAGTCAGTAGTTACACCTGCCACAGAAAGTGGCAAGTACACAAATAGGACATAAAAGTTACTAAATAAACAGTAACAAGGAGAAGAAGGAACCCTTTGGGAGGAGGGATCTGATTCCCAGAACTGACGCACACATGAAGTTGTTTGGAACGCGCATTTTCAGTAACACCAGGAAAATACATGACATACAAAAATAAAAAAACAAAAAACAGGACAGTGCTGTCCATAGGGGGGAAAGAGGAGTCAACGGAAACCGTGCCTCAGAAATCTGATGCTGGAATTTCTAAATAATAATTTTAAATCAGCTGATTTAAATGTTTTTATTTTTGTTGTTGTTGTTGTTTTTGAGACGGAGCCTAAAGCTGTCCCCCTGGGTAGAGTGCCGTGCCATCACAGCACACAGCAACCTACAACTCCTGGGCTCAAGCGAGTCTCCTGCCTCAGCCTCCCAAGCAGCTGGGACCACAGGCATCCGCCACAACACCTGGCTATTTTTTGGTTGCAGCCGTCATTGTTGTTTGGCAGGCCGGGCTGGATTTGAACCCACCACCTTGAGTGTAGGTAGCTGGTGCCTTAGCCACTTGAGCCACAGGGGCCGAGCCTGATTTAAATATTTTAATGAGATCCTGGATGGGACTCTAGAATAGAAGGACATCATCAGAGAAAAGCAATGGAATTATCCATAACATTTAGAATTTAGTTAATAGTAATGTTCAATATGGATCCATTTGTTATGGGAAATGTTCCACAGCGATATAAGATGCTAACAGTAAGGGAAAATGAATAATTTGCTATTTGATATTTGTTTGACAAATATTCCTTGTCATTTATTCATCTAAAAATGTCTTGATCTCAACTTAATGGCTGGGCCAGGCATAGTGGTTCATGCCTATAATTTCAGCATGTTGGGAGGCTGAGGTGGGAGAATCCCTTGAGGCCAGGAATTTGAAATCAGCTGAGGCAACATAGCAAGACTCCATCTCTACAAAAATTGAAAGATAAACGAGTAAATAAATAAATGTTAGCCAGGTGTGGTTGTGAGTGTCTGCAGACAGGAGGCTATGGGGGAAGGGTTACTTGAACGCCGGAGTTTGAGGCTGAAGCGAGCTATGAACCCATCACTGCACTCCAGCCTTGGAAAGTGTGAGACCTCATCTCTACCGCAGCTAATAAGAAGAAAGTCATAGTTAGGTTGGATAAAAAGGGTTAGCAGTTATTAACAATTAGAACTCTGCTGTCTATCTCATTGCTTTTGTTTTCACAGTAGCTTTGAGGATATCCAGTTGTTACAATGTTCCTTGTTTACAAACTCTGCCTTTTGTCTCCTTTGTAAAATCAGTTGAAAATCAATTTATCGTGTATTTGTATTCTATTTCTGGATTCTTTCTTCATTTCTATGAACAAAAGGGTTTTTTTTTTTTATCGTGAATGAGTATTTACTTTAAAAAATACACTTTTTGTATTGAGATGTTCGTGCTATTTTCTGATTCATTCTGTTAATATTGCTAAAAACAGCAATTGATTTTCAAATATTAATTAGTCTTACATCCTGTACACTATGCTTTTTAGCATATCACTCGTTTTAATTTGGCTAAACTAATCTTAATTTGTTTCGGGTTTCCATCTACGAACTTCAGTGACATTTTCATGTAATTGTCATTTACTGTTATTGTTTGGTTTGCTTCATGTGCCCTCAGAGATGCTTCTTGTCCTTCTATTTCCTGAAACGTTATGCAGAGTTGGTATTTCTTCCTCACATGTATCGTAAAATTCAGTTTTGATTAGACCTGGACTTGGGTTTTTTAATTATTGGGAGTTATTAAAATATAATTTATTTTACAGGCATAAGCTTGTTTAAAATTTCTGGGATCTTGTAATTTGCTAAAAAATTTTCTAATTCATCGAAATTGTTGAAAATATTATCAGAAAAATGTTTCTTTTATTCCTTATACAATATTTTTCATTCCTGATTTAAATTATTTGCATTCTGTTTTTCATATTAATTGGTATGGCCAAAGAACTATCAATTTTGTAGATTTTTTAAAAATAAAACCATTTTGATGAGATTGATTTTTTCTATTATCTTCCTGTTAGCTTTTATTATTGCTTTTATTTTTTTTCTTTGTGCACTTTGGTTTCAACTTGTTTTTCTTTCTATAGTATTTAGAAGGTTAGATAATTGATATTATGCTTTTGTCTTTTTTATAACATATTTTCTATAACATATCTAGAGGTATACAATTTCTTCTGAGCAAAACTTCATCTTTGTCCCACAGATTTTTTTGTTTGTTTGTTTGAAATATGGAATCCTTCCTGAATCTGCATGTCATGCTTGGGCGGGGGCCAGGCTAGTCTTCTCTGGAACCTTCCAGTTTTATAATGTGTGCTACCAAAGTGAGTACAGCTCCCCCCGATTGGCACCTGCCCTTTGAAAACTTCCATTTAGTCACAAGCACTCGTTCACAAGCACTCTATTATAA